CAGTGTAGATTTAGACCGTTTCAAAGTGCTGTTGAGTAATTTCTTTTACATTCATACATATGTAGTACATTATAGTATATGATGCATAGTATTTTCTTTTCTTATTTAATGACCTCTTTGCTTTGTAGGTGATGCTATTCAACGAGTCGCCATGATCTTTGCTCTTAAAAAGCTTTAGTCGTGGATGAAACCAGAAGGAGATAAGGGCAACAACTAGTAAACCAGAAAAGCTAATCAACGTAAAGTCATTGTGAATATCTGTGCAGCTAAATGTGTGACCATACATCAGTAAAAATGAAATTACTGTTCTCTCTGTTTGGAACTTTCGAGTTCATATTGATCATTTGATGCAACAGAAAACAGTTTCAAAGTACATCATGTAATCTTGTTTTGATTTGATGAGTGATTTCTCCCAGTGTATAGCACATTGTTCCTACTTTCACAAGTTGAATGTTGGCACATTTGTCTGCCAAAATCACTGGATCTGATACTATTTTATATCTGTTCCAACGTCATAGGGTGCAATATCCTGAAATGCTTTTATTTTAAGTCTATTTTCTAATGATGATTGCATATATATAATGTTGTACCATGTAAAGATAATAACTCAAACAACTGATGCAATATAATGTACTATGAAAAACAACTATACGATGCAAATATCATTTCAATTATGTCACATAAATCTCTCAACCTTCAATGGAAATTAAAACAGAAGTAATTACTGCAGTACAATTAAGTCGCCACGAGCACATATATATAATACTGATCGAATATTTCACTTTAAGAAGAGTCACCGGTATCTATCCAGTGGGCATACAACTTCACAAGAGGTAGAAAGACTCTTAGATGAAGTTGGAGATGAACTATGCTGTGACATTTGAAGCAGCTTGAAAAGCTCGTATGAAACTCTCTGGAGGTTGGCCACCGCTCAACTGGTACTTGCCATTTAGCTGCCAAATATAACTTCTTAGTACTTTCTCATTCATGGATTAACATATCGAAAGTGCTTATGGGAACAATGTGCTAAAATGCGTTTACATACCACAAAATGTGGGACGCCTGATATATTTGATGAGTGTTGCTGAAGCTCTTCATTCACCTTCACATACCCAAAACCAACAAAATTTACTTTAAATATTTATAAAATTGTGATCTATCCTACTGACGAGCCAACCTGCAGGGGGGATTGGGGAAGTAGTAGTAGTAGTGAGCATGAGGTACTGAAAATTAGGTAACATGTGATATGAATGACTAGGTCCATCAAGGAGCAGGACAAAATACTAGTCATAATGCCAAGTACAGATATAATTGAGATGGGCTGCTTTACTACTGTCTTTAGCAGTTCTCCAGCAGTACTACTTACACCCACACCCACACACCCCTCAGTGAATGTTCTGCGAGAAAGGAAACGAGCAAGAAAAATAGAAGACAGACTCTCCAGTTGGCTATTGGATAGAAGCTGTGGAAATATACCTCCTTTAGCCCATTGTTGGGATCTTCAAGGAAGTCAGCTGCTCCTTCCACACCAACTTTTCTTGCAGCTTCAATAAGAAATTCTCTACACGTTGAGAGTCAAATGCTGTCACTTTAAACTATATATGACATCTTCTATACTAACTATGTCGCCATATTTATTATGCATAACATCTGCTTATGGTCATAAAACACTGGGAAAAAAAGAAGGAAAATGGCTATTGACCAGTGATGCATCACTGTAATGATCAATATTTATACAAGGACTAAAACTTTAAATCATTATCAAAACTCAGGAGAAAGATCCAATAGAAAGGAAAATGAGAAGAAAATTGAATATTGTTACTGTGTAGCATTAGTATGCTAATGCAACTAATTTCACTATGTCAGGAGAATAGGCACTAACCTGTCACCTATATACCTTCCCTGTGTGAAATAGCCGAGAAAAAGCTCCTCAGCAAGATTATTTTGCTTGTCAAGCCCCTGTTGTCCTGCGAAATATAGTAGCCTGTGGCTGTCCAGACTACTTCCCCTGCATACCGAAAACAAACTGTTATAGCACAAGTCTTTTGCACTTCACAGCTTTTCTTGTGTTTCGCAAACCGCCAGAGACTTACGTAAGTCCTGACATGTTGTATTCCATCCCAAGGCCCTTAAAAACCTGCATGATTTTGAAAAGGTTGAAATTAGGTGATACACACTGGAGGCAACTTCTCAAGACACATTGTTTGGGCTACCAGAGAAAAGAAGAAAATATGAACCTCCGACATTCTTGACATCATTTGTTCAGAGCGAGATCCAAACTTATTTCTGTAGTAATCTTTCTTGTTAATCCCTTCTTTAGGTGCAGAAGGGTTGAGAAGAAACGGATGCCACTTAATCTACAAAAGGAAAAAAGATTTTTCCAGTGAAGATAGAGGAAGAGGCAGTAAAGGAACCACAGATAACAGAAGCAAATGGCACCTCAAAATCATACTGATCACTGGTTAACGCTATAGCTTTATGAAGGTTCTTTTTCCCCACAAAGCACCAGGGGCACACAGTATCCGAACTGATATCAATTCGGATAAACTTCTTTCCACAGTTGGTGGCCATTAATCGATGCAGGAACCTGATTATACACATTCACAAACAAGTCATCTTAACTAGCCTCATTCTGTTTTCCTGTTATACAAAATAAATCATTTACTAGAATAAAGTACAGATGTCATCAGTTAAGAATATTTTTCACTTCATTTTCCCTTAAAAGTTGCAAAATCAGCATTGTCAAATTCAAGATAAGAAATCACATCCATATATCAATTAATCCTCTTTAAAATTTATGTATATAGTCAATAGATTCTAATATTCTAATACTAGCAGTTCCCAAATCAGAATCGATATATAGCCTATAGGTGACTGCACCCATTGTTTTCAACTCGAACCGTACATTCATTTTGATACCACGGAATCTTAATTCAAGAATTGGCTATATCCCTAAGGTTAAATTTAAGTCGATTCTATCACAATATCTTTGATCAAAAATGAAAATCTCAAGAACCCCAATTCCTATCCCCAAGAAAAAATGTTGACTTGTAAAAAACAGGATTTCAAGTAACTATTTAAAAAGGTCAAACAGAACATATCATCAAAGCTTCAGTTTTTCTGAGTATTCCACTTTAAAAAATGGGAACAAATTCATCAAAAGGAAAACTAAATTAAATCTTGATATTTAACAGAACCCCATTATTTAACGCATAAACCAGTGAGAAATTAGCAAATTAAAAAGAAAAGTGTTACCTCGAAGAAATTAGGAATTTTCGGAGATTCAATGGAAGCATATAAATTAGGAAAGACTCTTTTGGGGCCTTAACCAGAATTTGCTTCTTCTGAAATCAAATCTTGAATAGGAACAAATTTTTTTTAGGAAAAAAGGGTAAAAATTTAGGAGTTTGGTGTGATGTGAAAATGGACTTAGGACAACTTAAAATATACACCATGTATTTCGGACTTTATTGATCAATTGTATTACATATAGAAAATTAGGGGTAGACATAAATACTGAAAAATCGATGAATTGAATTGAATCTAAAAAATTTGGTTTTTCGATTTTAATTTGGTGTTAATTTTTTTATTTCGAAACTTTGGTTTCCTATTATGTATTATTGTTATAATTTGATGCTATAATTTTATTAATTTTTGTTATTTATTTGGTTCGTATAATTCGTTCAATTTGTATAATTCAGTTCTTGATTGTATAAATTGTGAATTTTGAATATATTTACCCTAACTATTTGTGCACATTTTTGAAAAGTTCATACCCCTGTTTGAATATTGACAAACGAAATATATAAATAAAGTTTTAAATTTTTTTTAATATATATAAATACATAATTTTTATATATATTTACATGCTTGTATATTTTCCTTGAATATATAAGCACACAAAAATATAAAACATCAATATGTATAGCAAACGAAACTATAAATATACAATGTAATTATTAAAATTATAGTTATAGAGCCTTATTAAATTTATTATATTTTTCTATTTTTATTTTATCTTTTAAATACTGCAATAATATAAGCAATGTAATCTCTTAAACGAGATTTATATTATTAATAAAATATATAAAAAGAAATTCTCAGATAGATGATATTAATTAAAATTATTAATTTTCTTGGTTAATATAAAACTAGAAAATAAGTAGATTTACCCCCACCCCCTCCTCCAAACACACACACCCAGGAAAAAATGAATAGATTTATAAATTTTAATATCTCGTTCTTTATTCATTGAAGTCAACCCAAAATCATAGATTGAGATTTGAAATGATTTAATTAATAAAGCAACGTAAGAATATCGAAATTAGAAATCTTCGATTAATTTGTAATAAGGGGTTTGAAATGTTAAAGATTAGTGTTCAGTGTTCCTATCATTTCTATATATACGTCACTATTTTATATTTTGTGTATATTAAGAAATTAAGTGGGTTTATATTTTTTTTATTTAATATTTTTTAAAGTCAGATTTTCAATCAATGAAAATAAATTAATATGATTTATTAACATAAATTATTTATTTAATTTTTCTATATCGATTAAATCTATATATCTCGAAGTTAATGACTCACAAGACTAAAATAGAAAAAATAATTATGCATCAATTTTGTGAAATAACAAATATTAAAGATCAATTAATTTTTTTAAAATGACATATAAATAAAAACAAAGATACTATTTGTTAGTATAAAAATATATTTATTTTAATTATATTTACTATTCTTTTCAATAGAGATTGATAAATTTTCACACAAAAATGATCACTTAACACATGATATCATATATTCAAGTTAAACCATACTAATTAATAGGAAGACATTTTCTTTTATTGTGTAAACAGTACTTATAAATGCTTTTTCATCTCTAATACTCCATTCAATTATCATATATTACTGTAGTTTGAATTAGCAATTTTTATATGATGTAAAATATGCAATAACAATTTTTTATTATTATCAAACACAAAATTTCAATTAGATTCTTTCTTTTCTAAATTGAGAAGTATTAGTAACAAAATTTGGACATTAGAGTATTTTAAGGTCTCAAAGAATCAGTTGAGGTAAAACGGTCGGCCAGGAATTGGCAGTCCTGTCCTCCCTCCATCCAATTTCTTTGGAGCTCAAACTGCAACCTTAGATTCTTCAAATTTTCCGGATAAAATTACTTCCATTGTTTCTCGATTTCATCGTAAGTTTTTCACTGCTTACATTTATTTTTTAGAGTCAAAGTTAGGGACTTGGGTTCAAAAACAGTAGTTAAAGATCATAGTTTTTTTTTGTAATTTATGGTTCATTTTTGTTGATAGTGAGAAATAAAATGGATATTGATGAAATACTTGGGGTATCTCGGCCTGTGAGTTTGACAAACAAGAGTGCTATTTATGTTTGGGGTTACAATCAATCTGGGCAAACGGGTCGGAGAGGGAAAGAGAGGAGTTTGAGGATCCCAAAACAGCTTCCTCCAGAGCTATTTGGATGCCCAGCTGGTGGGAATTCCCGTTGGTTGGATATTGCTTGTGGTCGTGAGCATACTGCTGCTGTGGCTTCTGATGGATCGCTTTTTACATGGGGTTTGCCCTTTATTTACCTTCACTTTTCAGTATCCATGTTTTACCTCTATTTCTGATTTCAATTGACTCTCGTTTACTTCATGCTTGCCCAAAGATTTGATCTTTTTTCATCAGCTGTCTCTGTATTTCTGATATAAATTGGGTGGAATGAAGAAAGAAAACCATGTTCTTTAGTTTGATCATGCTATCTGATGAAATTGGGTTGAGAAAGAGTTTCTGAAGATTGGGTGTAACCCAAGAATGTGCCAGTTATAGTATTTATCTTCCAAATGAATGATGAATTCTCATGTAAACTGTGGCATCTTTTAATTTTTCCCTAACATGGTTTGATCTCGGTTGGGGTTATCTATTTGCCTCTAAAACCCATTGCCTTATTCTTACTGATAAAAAGGTCATTGCTCTATTTTGTTGGTTATTTATTGCCTTTCTTAATTGATCTTGTTACATTTTGTGTATTTTTGCTCAAATAAATTCCTTGGTGTAATACTTGTTTTTTATTCCTTTACTCAAAGAGATATGTTGCAAAGAAGACATCGCCACTTTATGCATTTTAAGTTGATATAGAACAATTAATTTTACTTGTAAAGTTTACCTCTTTGGGAAAAATCTAGATTTTAATTGATATTTGACAATTAATTTCAGAAGTCTGTTCCTGCTTTTGTTTGTGGGGAAGTTGATTTTCCTTGTAAGAGAGAGCACTCCTAATCTTTATACCTTCAAACAGGAGCTAACGAATTTGGTCAGCTGGGTGACGGAACTGAAAATGCTAGGAAGCACCCCAAGAAAGTGAAACAATTGCAATCTGAATTTGTTATTAGTGTTTCATGTGGAGCACATTGTACTGTTGCCATTGCAGAACCACGTGAAAACGATGGTAGCATGTCAGCTCGGAGACTTTGGGTTTGGGGACAGAACCAGGTCAGTCTCACAAAAAAAAAAACCTTCAAGCAGCTACCTTGTTTATTTGAGATCACAATTTGTTTGCCTGTGTTATTCTATGCAGGGATCCAATTACCCACGACTCTTTTGGGGTGCCTTTTCTCCTTCTACGGTACTATTTTTTCTTGAGAATGAACTTTTGTGGAGATATCTGTGTTTTTCATGCAAATACATTACTTCTGTTCTGTGTGGTCCTAGTGGGGCTTAAGCATTTATCTAGTCGCATTTATGTTATGATAGCAGATTTACCTTTACCTGAGTTCTCTATCTAATCTATGCCCCCAATTTTTTTGTTAAGAAGTTGCTTTCCATACAAAAACAACGGTGACTTAACATTCGCAGTGCGCAACAAATTTTATGATATATGTATGCTCTTTCAATTCATTCAGGTTATTCGCCAAGTTTCTTGTGGTGCTGTTCATGTTGTAGCTCTATCAGAAGAAGGGTTACTACAAGCTTGGGGTAATTTGCACTTTCTTAATTCACCTTTATATACAATTCTATGCTTAACATATCCTCTCAGTAATTTTGATGAAATCAGTGCACATATGTGTATGGATCTCTGTATGTGATTTTAATTTTTATGTGTACATCCTCTATCAGGTTACACAGCCTTAGAGTTAAAAACATATTGTGTCATGTATTAATGAAAATTTTGTCACTGCGCTGGTTAAGCAGGCTATAATGAATATGGTCAGCTTGGCAGAGGTGTTACATCAGAAGGCCTTCAAGGCCCTTGTGTAATTAATGGATATGCTAGATTTCTTGATGAAGCCCCTGAACTTGTGAAGATTACCCAAGTGTCATGCGGGGAGTACCATACTGCAGCTATATCAGAGAAAGGCGAGGTGTAAGTGTTCATTGGACCTTTCTTGATGGAGATAAGTTTTGATGCTAAACATGAGAATATGGTTATCCGCATGGCACAAGTGGACGTGGATTTCAGGGAAAATAAACCATAAAGATACACTACTTAATTTGCAGGATTTGTTTTTTCCATTTGTGGAACTTCTCTAATTTAATTGAAGTTGCCTGGTCCAACTGAAATATTACGTTTGTAAATTTCCTCATGGCTTCTGGATTTGATTATAGGATTTTGTTGGATAGTCATTACTAAGAAGATACCTAGAAACTACCCCATTTAGACATACACACTAGAAAAGGAAGATAGAGTTGTTCAGTTCTCTAGGAAGTTAAATGAATCTTCTGCTATTACTTTTAGTTTCTTTAGTAGAGACTTAGCATGATTGCTGCATTTTTCAGTATTCCTGTCTTAACTTTGTATGAGGGAAACAGTGGTGCATCCTTACTCATTTCTCCTTATGAGGTGGTATCAGTTTTGCTATGCATTAACTAAAATTTTGTTGTCTGAGTTTGTGTTAATTTGTATTCACTTTACTTAATTCTTCTGTTCACATGTTAGCTCTTTTAAATTTTTTGGTTATTTCGATCTTTTTTTTTAATTTGATGACCGTGGTGTCTGGACCAACTTTTGTGCACTTAGACGCATTCCACAGGATACCTGCCACGTCCTACTAGCAACAGAAGGTTAGAACAGATGGGAAGAATCATGATAAGTAGGGATTTTTTTTCATGAAGTTCTTTGAGATAATAAATTTCCTTCCAGAAAAGACCCCTAATAATATTGTACTAACATTTGCTTATGTTATAGCAAAGCTAAGTTCTCTTGTTTGCTAGTTCTTTCTTATGCTGGTACGAATTTCTTACCATAAATTGAACTTTTCTTGTGCTGTGATAAACACATCCATGCTCTCCCGAAAACTCTTAAATCAGAAGCGAATTGTGGCCCTCTCTCTACAATAAAAATAACTTTTAGCGGCAATAAATAGATACATTAATAAAGAGTGCTAAAGTCTTTACCGGCATTAGTTAAGTGTCATTAGATCCAATGTCGCTAAAGCCTTTAGTGACACATACAAAGAGTGCTTATTTAGCGGCAATTGCTAATTAATTGCCGCTAAAGCTCATTTTTAATGTAGTGTCTCCCACTTTGATCCCGTAGTCATTGACCCTTCATCAAATGAATAAGAAGCTTCACAACATGGATCTTCATGATGATCTACCATCTTGCAGTACCCCTCATTATACTTTAAGACTTAACAACCGACAGGGCTTGTGGACTTAAGCTGATATTATTGTTCTGAACTTCTTTTTGTTTAATTTCTTATTCACATATTTCATTGGATCTCTCGAAGTTCTGTACAAATTAGTGATGGTTATTTTTTGCTTTTCAACAGATACTACTCTACGGATCATTTGATTGATACCCTTCTTCTTTCCCCTGTCCATTTCTTAAGATTTTGATACAGGCTGACTTATCGTTCTATCATTGTGACTAACTACAGCTATACGTGGGGATTGGGGAGCGTGGGACAACTTGGCCATTGTTCACTTCAGTCAGGTGACAAGGAACTTTTACCTAGGCGTGTAGTTTCCCTTGATGGCATATGTATTAAAGAAGTTGCCTGTGGTGGTGTTCACACCTGTGCTGTGACTGCGAAAGGGGCTCTTTATGCTTGGGGTGGAGGTCAGGCTGGGCAATTGGGAGTTGGGCCATTAAATGGATTCTTTTCATGCAAGCTCAATGAATCTGAGATGATGCTCCGAAATATACCAGTGTTGGTTGTTCCAGATGGTGTGCAACTCGTTGCATGTGGTCATTCACACACACTTACTTCTGCTAAAGACGGACGAATACATGGATGGGGTTATAACTGCTATGGTCAAGCGGCTAATGAGAAGTCTACATATGCCTGGTGTCCATCACCAGTTGATTGGTACGATTCGTGAGAACCAATGCTTGACTAGACGTTGGAAATCTTTTGATACAAAGTCATTTCTTATTCAAGTACCCTTTGTTCAGGTGTGTTGGGGCAGTCCGAAAATTGGCTGCTGGTGGTGGACATTCAGCAGTGCTGACTGATGCATGCTCTCTAAAAGAGCTGTGTGAATTTAGGCTTGCAGAAACAGTGAATCCATCCAATGCTTCAGTGGTTGAGGATGTCGCCTCAAGAACAGGAGCTGATGCTTTAGCACGACTTTGTGAAAGATTGAGGTAGAAATTCTACTGTTGAATGCCATGCTTCAGATGTTCAAAACCTGTCTTGCTCTAAAATGTCATTGCTCTAAAAGCGCTAGTAACTAAATTTATTTTTGTTGGGCATTTGCAGGGAGCATTACTACAATGATGATGAGTTTGGTCTGTGAAATCATTGATGGGTGTTAAATATGTAACATACCAATAATTCAGCCATTAGATTTGATTCTTCAATCCATCTAATACAATAGAGAAAACAGAGTCTTTGTTTCATCATTGAATAAATGTATTCTACTTTTTATGCTGCTGCATCATTAAGTTAATACAACAAAACATCTACTTACAATTTAACCATTAATTGCCATTTATATATGATGATACTTTAATTTAATTTAACCTAGATCTTTTTAGTACTAAAAAAAGAAGGATGAAAAGTTTTATTAGCTTAAGCTAATTATACATCACAAACAGGAAAGTTGATTAATATTGTTTGGAACAAAACATATACAATTAATTAATTATACTCTCCGGAATATTATTTCATCCTTCGTTGCTGACGTGGCGGAGCATCCATGGCGGTATCAATGAGGAATTATTATTATTGTTATTTGAACCCGGATAGTGATGAGCCTGACCCGATCCATCTCTGTTCATTCCTCCAAAAGCCCCCCTGATCAACACATATAATATATGGATACAGAAAACATTTTGTTGTTAAGCAATTATATGTCGCAATGATTATGTTTTTTAGGTAATCTGATAGTGTAAAATTTATTCGTACGTACCCAATTGTAAGGTTAGGAAGTTGGTGGTGAGAATGTGATGGAAACACATGAACTGTTGCTGAGTTTTGGCCTGATGAGTTGGGTTGTGTCTTCTCATTTTCTTTTAGCTGTTTTCGGTTCACATTTATAGATAGAGACAGATAGAAATTGAACAAGTTTGAGATATTAGAAAGCAAAATATATGTATGTATACCTTCTTAGTAATCAAGTTGTTTTGTTCTTGGAGCGCTTTCTCCTGCTCATATATAGTGCAAGTATTACTTATAACACAAATATCATAAATACAGAAACACTGTATAGATTCAAGTAAATCCGAATAATTATTGACGATGGAGAAGAATATTAATAGTATATCGTTATTACCTTTTTCTGCAGCTCAGAAATGGACTCGTGCATCAGTTGATTCTGCATATTATTCAATTTATACTATTAACCTTAAAGATTAACTACAGTTGATATCAATTAGTAATTAATTAATACGGACCTTCCTGCTTCTAATTCTCTTTAATGAAGTATCAATCTGTTGCTCTATACTCTGGAGCTCACGCAAACTGAGAGGGTCCAGATCCTGACCCATGTAATGCCTACACAATTAATATTATATGAACAATTTGAATTCGGCGTTAAAACAGACACTGTTTTCACGTGTCAATTAAAAATGGGCTTACATCGTCTTTTGCAAATGTAGAAAGAATTCGCCCATTTTTCATGTGTATTACTACTAATGAAGTGAAGGGGTATGCATACCTTATATTTCTTTGTAAAAGTTCAATTCTTGACATGAGCTTCGGATACTCCACACTCCAATTTTCCTACAACAAATACATCTAATGAGATCAAAAGGAAAACAAAAGACTAGAAAACTAATTAGCAAGTGCCTGGGAAAATATTAAATTTGAAATTTATTGAGGGGGGAAATGTATTTGAAGTATGCTTTATATGTTCAAAACATGAACTTTGCTTGGACTAAAGTTGGTGAGAACAGTGGCATCCAGAAATTTCTTAAAAGTTGTTCAGAAATAGCAGCTTGTTATGTTAAGAATATCCAAAATATATTATTTAATCATTTACTAGTTAGTATACATGTTCTTTTTTTCCGACAATTGAACACCCTAATCTCTATGTGGCTATGCCACTGAGTGAAAATAAAAAATTCTAACTTAAAAATGCTGCAAGTATTTCACTTTAATAGTATCTTCCATTCATTTTATGTAAAGAACCAATTTGATTATACACAAAATTTATGAAAAAAATAAGACTTCTACATATGATTTTAGATTTTTCACAGCATTTTTTTCTATCTACTATAGAGACTTGCTAATAAAAATAAAGTAGCAAGCTTTAATTAATTTGGTTCTTTCCAAATGTGGAAAAAAAGGCCATAATCATTTTTAGATTGACTTAAATTGGAAAAGAATTATATAAATTAAAATGGAGAGAGTCTTTCAATATTTCATTATAAGACCTCGTTTTTTTTTTAACCAACAATGATAAAATTTAAAGGATAAATCAAGAGAAAGAAACATTTGAAATTTATTAATTTGCATTTACCTTGGGATCAGAATCATTAGCATTCATCTGTCTCTCTGCATATGAGCATCTTTCATATCTTTCAAGAATACTTTCCATACTAAAATCAAAAAATAAACAAAAAAAAAATTATAAGCCAGTAAGCATATTGAACTTAACTACATGACCTAATAGTATAAAATTTTATTTTATTTTTTCATTTACAGTTGGTAATTTTTCCATTGATATACAATATTACTTAAATAGGATTCTAACTAGGTTATTTTAGAATGAGAAGTTTTTTGCATTTTAATCAGGTCAGGTATATCAATTCAAAATGAAAGAGATAGATCTATTTATTAGAGTGGCATCCATGGTGGCTAAGATGAGAGAAGCGAAGCTGAGATGATTGAGTCTGTGACGTAGAGATGTGCAAATGCCCAAGTGAGAACGTGTGAGAAATCGACAATGGTGGGTTTAAAGAGGGGTAGAGGTAGACTAAAAAAATATTGGATAAGGGTGATTAATTAGACACACATGCATGAATTTACGGAATATGATCTTAGATAGGAGGATATCGAGATCGTGGTAAAGGGTTGAAGGTAAGTACGTAGTTAAACATCATCTTGCTTTCCTATGGTATAGGTTTGGTGGTAGTTTGGTGCAGTGTGCATTTATCTCCTTTCATACCTATAGTATTAACAATATTTTCGTAGATTTTTGTTCTCCAATTTCTGTTACTACTGGTTGTTTCTTGTTTTTAGTTTATCACATTATTTTCATGTCCTTTCCCTATTATTTGCTATGTTTTCTTTAGTTCTATATTTTCCTTTTCACACTACTTTGGTGCAAGTTATTTGAGTTGAGGGTCTTTCGGAGACAATAAATACTCTATCTCTGTACAATAATCAGGGGTAGGGTCAGCATACACACTACAACAAAAATAATTTTTAGCGGCAATAAATATTGACATTAATAAAGAGTGGTAAAGTCTTTACCTTCATTAGTTAAGTCTCATTCGAACCGATGCAACTGAAGGTTTTAGGGACATATACAAAGAATGGTAGTTGCCGCTAAAAATACACATTCTTAACAGTAATTAAGAATTAATTGTCACTAGTGATCATTTTTGAGGTAATGACATTAGCTCTATTCTCTTTAGACTCCACCTGTAGAATTACATTAGCTATGTTTTGGTTGTTAATTAAAGCTTCCATTCATGATCAAATAAAAAGTTGCTTACAATTTACTATAACAGGTAAAGCTATACCTAGATTGTGCCTTTTCTTTTTTGTAGCTGGATGAGATTGTTTGACAATATTTTGCCACAAAATTGTGTCTGTTCTACAAGATTCATCATAATCATTTAGATTTATCAATGTTGTATAAGATATGCCTTTAATAAGTTAAAACTATATTAGAGGCCTCAACAAATCTAGTTAGTAGGTCTTTTAAACTCATGATTTACATAACTCGTTATGTATTCATTGCTATTACAAACTTCAAGAAGATTATTTATCAATTTTAATATAACATGAAATCATAGACTATAAACAACTAACTGAAGGATTTGGATCAATATTAATTCGTTCGGAAAACCAAACGACTAATAAGATTTAACTTGTCATTAATAGAGATCAATTGACCAGAAGATAATTTATACGTTGACAGTATAAAGAATCTCTGCGTTATCATTAATGTTAGTAATATAATTGGAGTACATGTACGTCATTAAGAGTGCTCCTCGTACTATATATCAGTGAATGAACTGACAAAGAGGCACAAGGCTCTAGGCTTTAAAATGAAATGCTCTTTCTTCAGCTTTTGCTTTTAATTTGTTGTATTTTGTGCATTTCATCTAATTGTAATGTAATTATGTCAATATACACTAACATGACTACCTGCAAAATATACATGGAAAACACAAGGGAAGTAATATACTTATGAGGGTAGTTTTAGGGATATTTGAAGGGTAAAATATCATTTTTATTTCGTGTAGCAAATATAAATAAATTTCAATGCTTCAATGATGAAGTTAGCTTTTGGTCATAAATTTTAGATAAATTTCCAAAACTATTTAGTAGGTTGAATGACTTTTACTTTCGCTCACAAAACTTCAAAAATTTTCCAAGTAAAAATTCTAACACAATTTTTGTTCCGAAATGCACACTTTCAAAAAAAAAAAACTCAAATTTTCAAGTTTCAAAATCTAAGGCAAAACGGGAGCTAAGAAGTATGAAATATGTGTTCATGATTACTGATCAATAATCACTTGATTTACTCTTTGGAAAGAAATAGGAGATCTAGTTTCAATGTAATAAATTCACCAAGCTAAGAACAAACGATCTAAATCGTATGTAATGAGAAAAGATAAAGTAATAAGTTACCATACAAACAATTATAGAAATTACTCAAATTAGTGCATGAGGACATCAATGAGCTGATCAATAATTAGCTTACTAAATATACATAGCATATATGATTTAATTTTCCTTCATTACTTTTGTGACCTAATTATGTCAAAAATAAAAAACCAAAACACTAACATGACATATATATATATATATATATATACACTAATTAGGAATTTTTAAAGGTAAAACATCATTTTGTTGCTTCAATAGAAAAAAACTATAGCAGCGTTTAGTCATAGATTTCGAATAAAATTGGTAGAGTAGTACCTTGAGTCATTTGAGGAATACTCGAAAAGTTTGCCTTTGGTAGAAAACACAATCAATGCAACATCAGCATCACATAATACTGAGATCTCATTAGCTTTCTTCAATAATCCAGATCGTCTCTTTGAGAATGTTACTTGTCTGCTTATTTTGTTCTCGATCCGTTTCAACTCTACCCTACCTCTTCCCATCCTCTATCTTTAATGCGTATTTAAATTAATCGAACTATTAAATCATATAAGCTACCTAGCATAGATAGAGAGGTTTGTTTGGACTAATTGAGAGACTATATGGAAGAAGAAGCATGATTGAGGGTTGGGGGGGGAGGTTTTATTTGTTGATTTTTGATTGATTGAGTGAAAGGGAATAATAATAACCT